TGGCAGGTTGGCAGGTTGGCAGGTTGTCTGTGCATGGTCACTGCTGACTGAGCACCTGTCCTCTCCTTTCAAATCCCAAAGTTTGACTTGGGAACTACGATATTCTTGCTTGCTTCTGGAAGCAAAATAAGATATTAACATGAATACAAGAGGAATGCTGGGCATGGAGGTGGAGATGAGGTGGACTAGCCCTGTGAAAGTTTCCAGTACAAGGCTTTAGGCTTATTTATATTCATGGGGCACACCTTGGCACACTACAACTAATATATCTTCAGATTTTTGTGCTCGTTAAAAAATTATCAGTGGTTGATGTATGTGAAAATTATAATTGTAGATTCGTAGTTGTAAATTTACGTGGATATCTTTCTGTAAAATCTACATACAATTACAACTCAAAACTTTATTTATGTATCGTCTTTGAGATTTTGAGGGCCTTGTGCTAAATTTAAATTGGGGCCTCATATAATCTAATGTAAAAATACTTATAACTAAAAGTCATCAAGTTTATAATGAAAAAAACATATATTATTATCCAAAAATCATTCACATTGTATTTGTTATCTTTATTTGAAGAATTAAAACTTATTACAAGAGTTTTTTCTCCAAAAGAACAAAAATACACAACCAACCATACTTAATGTCTGAAAATTGATCTTCTTGAATTTTTAGAAGAAAAATCATTAATCAAATATGTTCATAATCAAGTTTTTCTAGAAGTTTACTTCCAATACGTAGAATGACTGACTCAAACACGGATCCTTCTATTAAAAGATATGTGCTACAAGCCAGCTTCGCCACACATACTTTTGTGATAATATGCAGCACACTAAAGTATATATAACATTCCTATAATATTAATAAAGTGGTGATTTTCCCACTCATTTTTCTCCTATTTTATCCACTTACACTCCTTTTTTATAACTAAAAAAGGAGTGTAAGTAGATAAAATATGAGTGGGGAAATCATTGCCCTATTAATATATATATATATATATTATAAAAATTGTTTTTTTTGGAGGCCTCAAAAATCAGGGACTCTGTGCGGTGGTGCCACTTGCACCACCCGAGGCCGCCTCTGGTTGGTTGTTATATATGCGCTGGTGTTACGTAATAAAACTATGTGACATATTGACTATTGATAATGTTAATTTTGACTAAAATACGTGTGATTTAAAGGCATGTTGTGACAATTGCGTTAACGTTGGGGCAACTGAAGCAGTGACAAAAGTAATAGTTACTTGAGGACCACGCAACATGAAGTCATGAGTTAAAACCCAGTAAACAAGTTAATGAGCCACTAATTAAGCTATAGTAAAAGGGTTGAACTAAGACCTGCTCAGCGGCTTCACTGGGATATACTTTGCTGGCCTTTGATTTGATTAATTTCTAAACTTGACTGGTCTCGTTCTCTGGATTTCCCGTTGGATAAAGAAAACAAAGACAAATCCGACCCAATTTTGAAAATCAAACCAATCAAAAGATATATTACGACTTGTTTGGACTTTTAACAGTTGAATGTAATAGTTTTTGCTTTCTTGATGAAGATGTCTTTGAACCTTCCTTTCTTCATTCACATTCACTGTCAATATCTTCTGGAACTTATTTGCAAAATGATAAAATTTTCGGGTTTTTTTCTTTTTCCAAGTTTTGAAAATGCTTCTCATTTTGGGTTTTTCTTCTTCTTTTTCGGGTTATTGATCATTTTGGGTGCTTTGAATTATGACAAATTCATTCAACAATTAATGGGATATGTTTCTATTTGAGCTCAAATTCTTGCTTATCATATTCAAATTTTAAAAAATAAATTCTGTGTGTCGTGGATTTATGTCACCCCTGCAACTACTTCTTCACACGCTACGAACCTTATTGATCATTTTGGGTGGTTTGAATTATGCCAAATTCTTCCAACAATCGATTGGATGTTTCTATTTGCGCTCAAATTCTTGCATGTCATATTCAATTCTTAAAAGAGAAAATCGGTTTGGAGTATTTACTCCCTTAGGCAAAGTTCTGAATTCGAGTCCTAGCATTCTTGTAGTCTGTGTGAGTTTAGTATGCTATCGCCCATCTCAATAAGAAAGGTCCTAAAAATAAAAATAAAAATAAAATCTAGAAATCCAACGTTATACTGACTGACTAAACCTTTTATTTTCTTTGGAAATTTTAATTATTGTTTATTGCATAAAATTTAAAGAAAACTGAAAAACTGGTTTATTTGTTTATTTATATTAGATAGGCCAAAAGAGTGAGTGCCATACTACCATCAAAGTGGGACCTGTACACACAAGTCGCACAGAAAAATCTAATATTTTAGCTGCAAAACACATAATAATAATAAATTAATCATTTACTAAAACAAAAATTCAAATAAAATCAAATACTTGGTGGTACGTACTACGTAGGCTACCTAGCCTCCTTCCTCTATGTTGACCCAAAAAGAATCAACCACGTGGTGACAAAGAAAAGCAGCCCCCACAAGGAAGCAAACACAAAGGTCCAAAAAAATGTTCGAGCCCATTGAACCCATCTAGAAGACTCAAACAATTCAAGTCCCAATATTCACCGCCCGACCAGGAAATATTATTTGTTATTATATGGGATTTAATCAAGAATACAATGACATATAAAATAACTTTTTCACTTATTATTATGTTATTAACAGGCGAAAGCGAAACAGTACTAACACCGTTACAAGAAAGTTTTTTTTTTCCTAAAAACCTTCTCTCTACAGAAGCAGGCTGCTCTTCTAGAACACCAAGTAAATTAGACATCACTGTCACACCGTCCTGGGCCTCCCTTTTATTCATTTTCTATTTTAAATTCTCTGCTGAAAATTATTTTTCTGCTTTCTTTTGTGCCTCTTCATCTGGAAGCCATCCCCACCAAGCCTTGCCCCACCGAAAGGGTTAAAGATTCTCTCTTTTGTTACTTGAATATGAGCTTATGACCATCTTATATATATTTGGGTGCTCTTGCTCTCTCTCTCATCACAAACTACCCAACAACAATTTCATCATAAACTACAGAGCTTTTTGGTTGTCTTTCTGTACATCGAAAATGGTTGCCCAAGAAACCCACCAGAACCCAACTGTTCTTGAAGAAAAAACCGAGCAGTTTCAAGATCAAGATCCATATGAAGCAGAGGAAACACTCTCACTTTGTGATCTTCCCACACACAGTGACTCAGCTCATTGGGATGACTGCTCCAAGGAGTATCAGAGCACATCGTTTGACAATGATGAAGACAACTTCTTTGAGTTTTTCAGCGAAGAGTTCACAGCCTCAACGTACCCATCATCAGGGAAGGACATCATCTTCTGTGGAAAACTCATCCCCTACAAGGAAGCACCAAAAAGCTTTGAAGCAGAGAAAACCCACCACCAGGACAAGGAAATTGGCAGCACAAAACGCATCAGAAAAGGGTTTTTCAGGTCATGGAGGTCCTGCTCTTTCCACAAGACAATCAAGTCCTCCAACTCCAAAATCTCAAAGCCTGCGCTGCAAGGCAAAGACCCTAGGAGCATGAATACCTGTTTGTCATTTCCCACATCGAAAAGTTACAGAAAGTGTGAGCTTTCTAAAGTGTCCATACTTTCAAGCACCCCATCGAAGTCAAAGTGGTATCTCTTTATGTTTGGCATGGCGAGGTTTCCAACGGAGATGGAGCTCAGGGACATTAGAACAAGGCAGAGCAGGAGGAGCCCATCAACCATGTTTAGGTCTTGTGATGAAGGCAGTGATCAAATGGAGGGGCAGAAGGGTAATATGGGAAGGAAAAGTAGTAACAAGGCCAATGGATTGTGGGGGCTGCTGAGAGCTGTAGGGTGTAGGATTAGCCAGCCAAACGCTGTAGTAAAGGCGGGCTTCCTTTAGTTGAGTTCAAGATCAAGACATGCCAAGATTGACTTTACTTAATTGCTCACATGTGTCTAGTGGATAGAATAGAAGAATATTATAGTGACTCTCAAAGACATTTTTGCAATATTGGGTTCCATATTTTGTAATTTAATTTTTTTATGGAGGAAATGAATATGATCAATTTAGAACCTCACTGTGAAGAATGTGACTATTATCAGCTTCTTTTTTTTGCTACAAAGGTCAATAAATATGGTAGAAATAATATTATTGATTGTGAATAAGAGTGTTTTTTTCAAGTAATCCAACGACTTATAACATGTGGTTGATTTTGCGGAGGCTTGTAGCTCTATCGCTAGTGTGTATTTGACCTTTGGAGGAGGGAGATTAGAACATAGGATCTCAAGTGCATGAAAAATTGCTCTAATCACTAAGCGACAAGTCTCTTACAAAGAGTATTTGTCCTTACACCTAAGATTAGATTTTGATATATCGTCTCACTTGACATCTTTATAACCAAAGAAAAAAGGGGGAAATGTGGGGGGTATATCAATGTCCTGTATTGCATTCTGCATTTTGTCCTCCACAATCAGTGTTCGATAGCTTGATTTAAGGTCTGGCACCAAGTTAATAATAATATAAAAGAAGGATTGAAAGATATTTATAGAGTTCACCAAAAATGCGCGTTATGTGTGCCTAAATACGCGTAATACATGAATTATTAATAATAATTTTAATATAATTACGGAAACACCAAAGGTTAGTGGTTTTCATGTCGGCAAAGTATAATTACGTCTAGTAGCTTCCCTTACTAACTTTGCTCAAGCCAAAGCCAAATGCCGGCCTTCTTTTCCTTTTGCACTTTTGCTTTTCTAGAATACACGGCTATTGGGTTGGGGCGCACACAACTTTGCAGGCTAGAGTGATGAACCATTAAACTTGCCCAAAAAAGAAAATTAGTCAGCCATGAAAATGAATTTTTATATTCAAACTAAGATTCTCCAACTTATTCTCAATTTAGATCTCTTTCTCCCTCTATTGGGTTTCACAAATCAAATCATTTTTATATCAATAAAGAAAATAAAAATTAATACAAGAAATGCTTCCTTCGTAATGAATAGTTCACCTCTGCATTGCACGTGTATGTTAACAAAACTTTCCTTCTGATGTTTCAAGAAAAGCAAATTTGCCATGGTTTAACAGACTAGATTTCTTTGTTGATACAGAGAACATTTGACCTTACCTTACATGTCTGTTCTGTAATAACATATCTAAATGAGACATCAAAACTGGAAATGATTATCAATAGGATCAAAATTTGCTCAGTGAATCTGATAAAGGTCCAGAAATTGTCGTTTCACGCGATTTAGCAATCAAGATTTTTCTTTTCTCCTCATCTTTCCCTCTCGGCTGCAGTCAACAGACACAGTGCCTTTTCTTTTCCCTGAATGTCTACCATTAACACCTTCAGTCACCCTCTCTTTCTGAGACTGCTTTATTTTCTTTTGTGCTTTCTTGGTGATTTCCTCGGCTCCAGAGAACTGCAGCAAGTACCATAACAGGAGTAAAGATTTATTTGAGTTTGCTAAACTTCTCTCTCTCCCTCTCCCCCTCCCCACACTCCCACTCCCACTCCCACCCCACCTCCCCCACCCCGGGTTGTTGTTAATGTACATTAGAGGGGGCTGGGATAGTTCAATCCCGCATATAAAGTTTATTTATTGATTCTGACTGTAATGCTATTATGCAATCGCTAGACTACCCCCATAATTAACAAACAAGATGCCATGCCCAGTCAAATCATAAATGATAAAAATAACACAAAAATATGGTTTGCTGTGTTGTACCTTCTCAAAAAAGGCCAAATTTCTAGAAGCAGCCTTGTCCATGATGCTTTTGTAATATTGTGCAAACGAAGTATTGCCACTGTGCTTTTCAAGCTGCACGAAATAACCATCTAACAGATCAAAAAACAAGTCAAATTCATCAAGTTCCGAAAATAATGACCACAAAGAATGCAGACCTGGAGAAATGATTCTACAGATTGTTGATCTTTTGGTGAAAAAGGCACCTCATCTCTCTTCTTCCGCACAAATTCAATGTTTTGCTCCACCTGCAGTTCAAGAATCAGAGCTTTTTGGTCACATCAGAAATATAATTCCTATCACATTAATTACATTACCAGCCAGCCATGGAGGCAGTACAAGCAGTCTATTAACAATGTTGGTGAGTTCACAAAAGCCTATAAAGGAGCCATTACTGTGCCAAACATTCTTTTCCATATAATAGTTTTATTCGAATTTCCCTCACACAACTTTGGAAATACGATTTTACAAGATGGTTGACCAGGCTGGACCCAGGCATGAAATAATATCAGTACAGCCTGCATTTCAATTTGACAGCCTGAATATTGAGACCATACATGCCTCCCTAAATTTTTTAATGAGCTATGGCCTACTAATGAGGAAATTGGTAGATAAGAGACCTATGTCTCAAGTGTACCTACCTCCGGAAAATAAATTCCTTTGTCAAGGAGAGAGATGCAAGCAAACACTAAATTCTTCTATGATAACTGTACCTGATCAATAAAACGCTTCACTATACGCTTGAAACTCTCTATAGTGGTTATCTCATGAAACTTCCTCAAACGGACAAGGGGAATAGTCGCCAGATCGGGAAAAGAAATATGATGACTCCACTGAGCAAAGTGCGCTGCAAGCAGTTCGATAACAGATAGAACACACTGTTCTTGGAAGTTCCTTGATTTTAACCAATGCTTTGGAAACTGTACCAAAAATATTTAATAACAAAAATAAGTAAAACCAGACCAAATTGCATAACCAAATTGCACACTTTTTATTTTTTAACGTTACTAAGTCCTAACCTTTACAGAACATAAAATATTGGTGTCTTTTCCAGGTTTTCCGACATCCTTGCCAATTTTATATTCCAGAATATCCAACACCACGGAGGCAACAGGAATGAAAATGCCAGTGGAAGAGGAGAGATGATTCAACCATTGAATGCATTTGATTCTTAAAGGCAAATATCTGGGTCCAGAAAACAAGACAGCCACTCCATTTATAATCTGAATGATTGTAAAGAGCAATGGATGAAGATCATAATCATGTATGTTGGCTGATATAAACATAACCCATAGATCAATGCAACTAGTGTACTGCCAACTGCATATCTTCTTGACCGCTTCCTGGCCATAGAAAATGAGCAGAATTTCAGGGAAAATATCACTGGTAAATTCTAAATACCATAATTTCTTGTCCCACACACACATGAACTAACTTGAAATAGCAAAAAAAAATTATCTGCCTGAACTGAATTTAAGGAAACAAGCAGCTGAGAGGATTGTACTAATGGTGGCAATACCTTCTTCTTTGTCAATAAACCCTGCTTCAGTATCTTAGCAAGTTGCTGGATAGACACCGATGCTTTCCTTGATGCTTTTTGCAGATCCACAGAGCATAGCTCCACAAAGGAGTTTCTTAGAAATTGTATGTGTTGAAATAGAACAGGCTCCAAAAATTGGCAATGACCAATAAAGGATTTATATGTATTAACAAAGCAGGTGTCAAAGCAATCAGAGCGAAACACAGAAGCCACATCACGTATGATGAGAGAGGATAGAGATGATATAGTCCCTCTTCCAGTTGCCCACAGATGAACGGCAACCTGCATTTTCAATTTCAAATGTTAGGCATGAATCACACAACATGACCTGGCACAAGATTGACATAAAATATAAAACTTGTGTAGCTATATAATATGAATATGGTTATGACTAGCACTTTAAAGATTACTCAAACTTGCAGGATGCCATAAGTTAAACTCACAACTGCTCTGTTTGTGTGTGTTCTTGCATGCATGCACAGAGAGAGAGAGAGAGAGAGAGAGAGATACAGAATTCTCCATATATACATAAACAAATGCATGATAATTGTATAAAACATCTGTATATGGGATGATACACAGAATGATTTGATGTTAACACCAATGCCATTCATTAATTAAATTTGTACTATCTTGTCATTCATATAGATATACCTTGATGAGTCTGCGGAGCAAAGAAGGAAAAGCAACAAAAAATGTCATAGAAGCTCTGATCCGTGCTAAGGAGAAGGCCAATATCTCAGAGTCATTAACCTCATTCAGAAGAAAAAGGGTACTCCTCAAATAAGATTTTATCAGTGGCTTAAGAGTATTCCATTTTGAATTCTTGGTCAAATCCAAATTTTTCTCTTTCTTGGGATTGGAGCTTGACATGCCCATTAGCCCCCTAAATATATTATCAGCCTCATTAAGCATAAATATCAGTGTCTTGCAAAAGGTTTCACTGTTCTGAATTCCATGGCATGAATCAGCATCAATGACCCTGGTTGATTCAGCTCCATAGTGGCAAGCAGCCCGGTACCCATTTAATAGACTAGTAAGTGCAGGCACACTTTGATGCTCCCTGACTAGTTGACACCAAGAATCAATGGCGGAGCTGGTCAACAACTTGCCCCCATTAAAATTCACACCACCTACATTATCTGGCTGCATATCCTCATCGCTGATCTCATCCTCATCAGCATACTGTAAAGTGCATGAGCATAATCGAGAAAAAGAAGGGACATCAAACAGCCAAACCAGATGACAAACACAAATTAACTTTTCAATATAAACGGTAGACATCTTTGCTGCTATAAATGATACTCAAAAATTGAAACGCAATGTCACAATAGATATTACTTACAACTTTGTTTCTGAGCTGTTCAGACCCCTTATGATAGCTTTTCAGAAAGTTAGAAAATTCTGGATCCTGAATTTTTCCAAGCAAGCATGATCATCAAAAAAATGAAAAAAAATAAAAAATATATATATATATATATTTAATGGGAGGTGGAGAAAGATAGTGGTAGGATGAGCAAAATAGGGGAAACAGAAGCAATCTTCTTAAAAACATGTACTTTAAAGTAATATCCATGACCATTACCTTTTCCTTCAATTTGTCTAATTTTTTTGTTTTCTTCACAAGTTCCAATTGAATTTCGCTGTTCTGCACAGATAAAGCACTACTACTACTACCAAAGTTGCCTGCATACAAATTTCATAAAATGTAAAATGGAGGGGAGAAGAAAATAAAATTTGATAACAGAATGATACAAAACCAACAGATGGTAGTACTGCCCTCACCTTCTTGAGAATTCTCATTTTCACTATGAGCTAGATGCAGATGGTCTGAGTCCTAATCATAGTAAGAAAAAAATAATAATAAACATTTAATCCAAAAGGTTCCAGTAGAGTGACTGAAGTTAAGAAGACTTCCCAGGAAAATGTATTTTTTAATACCTCCGAAAGATAGCCATCACTGTCTGAATCATCTCCAAACACATCACTGTCATCTTCACTAAATATTGTATCAAGAGGATTGTTTTCTATGTATTCAGCTTCAGTATTTCTGAGAACAATTTTTCAAATTAATGTTTCTGGAATCCTTTTAATAATGCAGTTTCAGATGGTATAACACTTATAATGCCATTAGAGAAAACTACCAAATGAAAGCATATAGTACTAAAAATAAGAGGAGAAGACAATACAAGTAAATGAAATGAAAAAACCATTAAATGAGAAAAACGTCCCTCTTCTTACCTTGCATTAGACAACTCTATTGCGTCCTTTTTTTGGTCTTTAGCAGTATCTTCTTGCCCACCTCCTGCAACAATTGAATTAGCATTTTGCCAATACAGAAATCAGAGAAGTACACTACATGTAGTTAAAGCTACAAAATTCAACAAACCCCAAAATTACATGCATTCAAAAACCAAAGCTTTCACAACATACACCATATTCCACATAAGCATATATAAATTCTAAATGCAAATGCAACAAAAACCCAAGTTAAGAACACACTAAAAGAATCAAATCAACTGCTAATTACTAATTATTGAACTTTCAAACTTTCAATAACTATTCCCATATCGAATTATTAAAATATGTGAGAGTGAGCTTACTCTTAGAAGTTTTCTTTTTGTTGAACTTAGAATTCAACTTGCGGTTTCTTCTGAGCACAGACTGAAGATTCTTCTTTGAAAACTTCCTGGCCTTCTTTCCCAGCTTCCCCATGTCGCTCACAAACTTGCTTTCAAACACATCAACTTCATTAAATAATGAAAACCTCCAAGGAAAATGAAAGAACAGAAAAAATACTCATGAACACAAATATGTTGTATGCATATATATGTAGGTGTGGGTGTGTCTGCTTACTTATCGTCTTCAATGGAAGCTGCTTCTTCTTTTCTGCTCAGGCGCCTCAACTGTGACAAAAACCAACTCCCTTCGTTTAACCTGATTTGGCCCCCCGCTTCCCTTGAACCCAAAACCCAAAACTACATCGTTTTTGTCCTGTTAAAATGAAAGCCTTTACACCTTGGGCTTAGCCTAGCCTAAGACTCGCCCAAAAATTTGGGCTTAAGCTCAAGTTTGGATTTGGAATGGCACTTTTTTGCCAATTGAGCTAAACCCTATGACCACCATAACCGTATATCCGCGGCTATATTACTTTAAAAAATAAAAAATAAAAAATCCGTGTATAGCCGGACGGCTATACTATTTTGTAAATAAATAAACCCAAGTATAGCCGTGCGGCGATACTATTTTAAAAACTAAATAAATAAATAAAAGACGAGTATAGCCGCACAGCTATACTATATATAAAAAATAATAAAAATAGGATCCTCCTGAGGCCTAGCGAGTAGGAGACCACGTGTCAAAAACAGTATAGCCGTGAGGCTATGATATTTTAAAAGATAAAAAATAAACAAACCCCAAGTATAGCCGGGCGGCTATACGATTTTAAAAACTAAATAAATAAATAAAGACGGGTATAACCGCTCGGCTATACTATATATATATATATATATAAAATAAAATAAAGCACCTGTCTACCGCCCAGGGATTAGGAGAGGAAAAAAAGGGATAGCCATGCAGCTATACTATTTAAAAAATTAATAATAATAAAAATGCAGCCCGGCTATACTATTTTAAAAACTAAATAAATAAATGAAGTACTTTAAAAAAAAAAAAAAAAAAGGATATTCCTATTTGCTTTAATTTACATATATTAATTTGCTAGTTTCAACATATCTAAAGCATATATTGAAGATAGAGAAATGTCACAGTGAATCAATCTTAGAGTTCAATTTTTTCTTCTTCTTTTTTTGTGGGAAACATACTTTTGACTATAAATGTATGTGTTTTTCTGAAAAAGAATTGTATTACTCTCACTTTTCTTGATTATTTTTTTGTAAATTGGATTCCCACATAATGTATGTGTCTTTTCTTGAAAAGAATTGTATTACCCTTATGTATGTTTTTTTTCTTTCTAAATTATATTAACTAATTCGTCTATTCTTTAAACGTAGATATCAAAATTTGAAAGACAAATAAAAACCTTAATTAAAAACTACTTTTGCTAACTTTTTTTGTTTTTTTTTTCCATCAATGCGTGTGTACTGCTTATTGGATAAATCTATGAGCAAGCATCAAATTGACGCGGTAGGTATTCAGGTAGGGCTTGCTACAAAGAAATGAGTTCATTACTTGGTTAATTCGATTTCGATCTAAATGTGCATGCCTCATGTCCATCTATGCTGTCTATAAAGGGGTTCCACAACCCCATAACACACTCCAAAAATAATGATGAAATTTGAATGTCATGGTTTTCTAACACAACCAAAATATTATGAGATTTCAAATCTAATATCTCTGGTTTATAAATCGAAGTCTTTTTAAATAGGCTAAATCCCGTATATATATAAAAAAAAAAAAGGTCTTGATCTTGACTTATGGTATATATTTATGCCTATGAAAATGCTGCTTATCTCAACTTTTCTCCCCTTCCTGGCACATTGTTTGACACCAGATCATTACATTAAAAAGACAATCATACAGTAGAATTCAAAGTGAAAATGCCACGTATGTTGACAATAAAAGAAAATTAGGAAAATAGTTGGACTGATCATGAATATATTGCTTATAAGGTATGGCTATTGATTTGTCTAGCATCGTTGACAAAATGTGATTGTTAGTTGAAAGCTACAAAGAAATCAATTAAAATCACACAAAGTCACAATTGACTAACATGATTGCATGAGCACCTGTGACAGAGTGAAGATTACTCAACGTGCACTCCAAATCCATACTTAATAATTGACAAAGGTAAGGATAAAACTTCATCACTCATCATGTCAATGTTGAGAAAAGGTCCATTATGTGCATAAGTTCGAACCATCCGATTCAAAATCAAACGAGAATCAACTTGTATTTACTTGCTTCGTTTTTGGTTTTGATTATTCTCTAGAATTGATAAAGTTTAAGACGTTAGAACTGTAGAAATTAAAAAAGAATATGACTTTACAATGTTAGTATGCTCTAGAATGGGCTAACTAAGGAACAAAAAAAAAAGGGGATTTGAGTATTAAACTGATCTAAACCGCACCGTGTCACCTAACATAAGCCTTACTCTAATTGCTTACATGACCAATAAGGAGAAGAATATGTATACAAGTTTCCGCAGGCAAGTATTTCCTCTGATCATCTATGAGCCTACAATTTAATATCATTCACGTGCAAATGAGGCAATTGGCATGTGACACCATCAATGTTGCCACCAAATTCAAGCCCCTCTCTTTAAAATTATGTGTGGTGGCCTCACAAGAATATATGTAGAGATTAGCTAAAATGGGATAATGGGGCCAAGCCTTTCTGTACACTTTAGCTACAGTGGATAATGTAGGGTTTCTTCAGACACCTAATCACCTTCTTATATACAACTAAAGACTGCAGAAGTTAGTCGTGGCTACAGCCATCATTGCTAAATGAGATTTTATGTTTGCACCACTAAAGAAAGTTTTATACTTGATATGCAAGTTATATACTTGATACCAAATTGTTATTATCAGTGCTTTGAATTTGATTGCTTGAAAAAGAAGGAACCTTTTTGTTTCTTCCTGTTTTTAGATTTGTGAGGCATGCCGTGTTTGGAGGAAGCAGAGAATTGCTGTGGTTCCTGTTGCAGCAGATCAGATGATGGCTGTCCAAAAAAATAACTACTACCGGTACTGGTACTTTGAAAAAGTAAAACAGAAGGACAAAGACAGCGAGGTTGTTGTTGTTGTCTAAATTGTTTTTGTTTCTTGCTAAAATAGAAACCCCAGTCTGTAGGCCCTTGAGCTTTCCCTTAACCCCCCATTCTCACCCCTACTCTGGTAAGCTTGTTCTGTTTTCGAACGTTGAAGCTTTCTTCAACAAGATCTGGTCCCCTCTCCTCTTCTCTTTCTCTCTCTCCCCTTTTATTCACAAAAGCCTCCTTAAAAAACCCCTTTGGGTATTTTGTGTTTTTTTTTTCAAGGGGAGGGGGAGTTCCCAAAAACTCACAGAGATCTGGGAATTTTCAAGCAGAGGTAAGTGTGTGTGTCCTTTTGTTTTGGCCTGTATTTTTCTGATACATTTGTCCAGTACATGGTCCTAAACTTGTGGCTTCTGCTGTCATTCTCTCTCTCTCTCTCTCTCTCTCTCTCAGTGTGCCTAATGCCTATAAGTTGCTGCAAGTATAATATTTTGATCTGGGTTCTCTGGTTTTTGTGAAGATCTTGCAATTTTTTCATCTGGGTCTGGCGCCATTTATTGTTTGCATTAATGAATCACTGAAAGTTTGTATCTTTATTTGTTGTGTTGGCAGTTTTTTATTTATTTAGTTTTTTCCGTTATTTTACCCTTTCAAATTAGGGGGTTATTGATTGTGTTTATTGGGCGTTGAATTAGATCTATCTATATTTAAGATATAAATTTCCTTCCAAAAAGTCATAATTTGATGGTTGAGCTATACCGAATTCGTGGTTATTTCCATTCCTTGTTTGTGTAGTTTGAACTTTGACTTTCAACTTTCCCGGTTCATTGACCCTTTGAATTTCCAGTACATTTGATAAATTTCATAACTTTCCTTGTTTATTAATATTGCCTAGGTGCCAAATTTCGTAACTTGTTTTGGCAGCATGCTTTGCTAGGAAATGGGGAGGAAAGGGAGTTGGTTTTCTGCAGTGAAGAAAGCCCTCATCGCTGATTCAAAGGAAAAGAAAGATCAGGTTTGCATGTTTCAATTGAACTTACATCATCCAATATTGAAGATTATTATGAGTTTCTAATTCAAAATAATTTTAAGTTAATTCTAGAAAACACGCAAGTCAAAGAAAAAATGGTTTGGGAAGCAAAAGAATGAGGATGTGGTTTCTTCGTACGAAGAAAGTGCGTTGGTTATCCCTGTCCCTGACACGACCCCTGCCCCTCCTCTTCCTACTCTGCCTCCAAAACAAGATGTCAAATTAGCTGAGGCTGAGAATGCACAGAGCAAGCATGTTTACTCTGTGGCACTTGCCACTGCTGTGGCTGCAGAGGCTGCTGTTGCTGCCGCTCAGGCTGCTGCAGAGGTGGTTCGTCTTACTGCTGTGCCTGCGCCCCATTACTCAGGAAAGTCGCTTCAGGAGGTAGCAGCTGTCAAGATTCAGACGGCATTCCGAGGGCACTTGGTAGGTCTTATTTTGCTATATTATTCTGTAATCCTAATTGATTCATGTCCTTAACTTTTTAGAAGTAAACCTTTTGTTCTTGTTATGGAGAAGAACTTAGATTTTTTGGAACAATTTACTTATTTTTTATACAAGGAACAATCTACTTATGATTATTACTTAATTTTTTGGGAAATGAGCCTTTCATATCTGGTTCTATTGAATTGAATCAGTTGAATTTTGGTGTCGGTTCAACTTGAACAAGATTAGGGATTTGGCATTCAATAGCACAGGGCTTGTGCTAACTGATTTGCCTCTTTTGATAAATATGCTTGCATTTATTTGTCAACTTTAGTGATAACATTTCAAGGTCAACTTCTATATTATAACTGAATGTTGACAGCATGTACAAAAGTTATTCTGTTTTGGCAAAGCAATAAATAACAATCTACTCTCATAACTTCAACATATCCATTATTGAGCTATGAGCTGTATGTGTTAAATGAGCGTTTATGTAATTTGTGATTTTCAGGCAAGAAGGGCATTGCGTGCTTTGAGGGGGTTGGTGAGGTTGAAATCATTGATAGAGGGCCAATCTGTTAAACGGCAAGCAACTACCACACTAAGATGCATGCAGACTCTTGCTCGTGTGCAGTCTCAGATTCGTGCAAGGAGAATTAGAATGTCTGAGGAGAATCAGGCACTTCAGCGACAGCTCCAACACAAACAAGAGAAAGAGCTTGAGAAATTCAAAGCTTCTGTAAGTTTATAAACTTTATATTATGTTTATTTAAGCTGTCTATGTGTGCTCCTGTACAATTGTGATGGTTGTGGTTTGTTCATCTATTTTCATCCTTTCATTCGCTTTGTTTTTCTTGTTGGTCAATTCCACAATTTGCTTGTATTTGCTCTGCCATTTGTGGGCATCTGAGTTGCAATGTTCTGGTGAAATTCGCCAGAAAACTTTTTATTAAAAAAAGAAGAGAAGATTATTAAAGTTTTCATCTGGATCCAATTTCACGTTAACTTTAAAAAAGATTCTAAAAGAAGCAAAAATTTAACTATCTTTTCTCCAAAATGTAAAAAAAATTGGTTTGAAGGGCCATAGTTTCACAACGAACTTCACTGGAATTTTTGTATCGTTCAGTTGTTTGTTTTTACATTTAGCAGAAATTATATGGAGGAATATTTGGTTTTGCTTCCATGCACTGTTCTCTGAGCTTAATTTCCAATTTATTTCACCCTCTAGATTTAGATTAGTAGAAATCTCTCTCTCATCACACAAACGTGAAGACTTAGATATCTCTACATTTTGTAATCACCATACTATCCTAGTCGGGCTTTAATCTTTGTTTTTTTTATATATAATAAACTTGTGACAGATGGGAGAAGAATGGAATGATAGCACCCAATCTAAGGAGCAGGTTGAGGCAAAGCTACAAAGCAAACAAGAAGCTGCTATAAGAAGAGAAAGGGCTTTGGCTTATTCATTCTCTCACCAGGTAGCCTGGTTTTCCCTTTTGCAATTTGTTAAAGGATTACAGGAGGTCTATTGTTGGCAATTTTTGAAATATGATTTAAGATTTTGTTGTGATGTCCCTAAGTGACTAGTAGGGAGTTCTAAGTTAAAATCTATTTGATATCTCACTATTATTGTTAGTATATTGAATCAAACTTCAACCTTAAACTGACCGGATAATAATATCTCTTTAACAGCAAATGTGGAAGAACTCTTCAAAATCTGAACATCCTACGTTCATGGATCCCAGCAATCCCCACTGGGGTTGGAGTTGGTTAGAGCGATGGATGGCTGCAAGGCCGTGGGAAAGCCGAAGTACAGTAGACTACAATGACAGGGCCTCCATGAGGAGTGCAGCTAGCCGTGCCTCCATGTCCGTTGGGGAAATCACCAAAGCTTATACACTTCGTGATAATAAGCCTTCCCCTAGGACCCCTACTGCCATAAAATCAAGCAGGCCTCCTAGTCGCCAATCCCCTTCAACTCCTTTCTCCAGGGCACAATCTTCATCATCAGTGACCGGGAAAACGCCAAGAGGAAATGGCTGGGGAGGAGATGAAGACTCCAGGAGTACATTCAGCGTCCAGTCAGAGCGCTTCAACAGGAGGCATAGCATTGCAGGGTCCTCTGTGAGAGATGACGAGAGCCTGGCAAGCTCGCCTTCAGTTCCCAGTTACATGACACCCACAAAATCAACAAAGGCCAGGTCTCGGTTGGCAAGCCCAAGCTCAAACCAGTTTGACAAGAATGGGACACCATCAGAGAAGGGATCAGTGAGTTCTGTAAAGAAGCGGTTGTCATACCCTGCTTCTCCAGCTGGACCAAGAAGGCACTCAGGTCCTCCTGGGGTTGATACTAGCTCTGTTAAAGGCACTGCCGTGCTTGCAAAGAATGTTAGCAACGGAGGGGGCAACAGGTAGTGATAAGCCTAGTGAGGTGTGCATGTAAAATAAAGCACGAATGTACTTAGGTAGATGTTGAGGTGAAGAAGATTGAATAAAAGATGGGTCAGGGCTTTGTTAGAGGGTGGAGGAAGGAGAAAACAAAAATTAGTTTTGTGATTTTATGTCTGTTTCAGTTGTCTTCATCATTAATGTCAACATTTTTTTTTCTTCTTCTCAGTAACCTTTGGCTGTTAGGGCTTATTATTTATAATGTAGTAGCCTAGCACGATTGGACTGGAGGTTGATTCATGGTAACAGATATGATTTCTTTAGCTGTGTGCAGATTGCTGTGGTTCTGTTTTCCTCATTTGGTTCCTCTATTTCAGTTTGTTCCTGGATTCTTGAGATTGCAAGGGAAACTCAGTGCACCTTGTTTATGAATCATTTGTATTTTGACTCATCGTTGCTTCATTTTTCAGTGGATAAAGTTAATCTGTTTCTAACTTTTCTTCTTGCTACTTGTCTAACATTCATCAACATAACCATGAATTTCTTAATTTTTTATTAAATAGTATTCCCGTGAGGCTATACTCGGTTTTTTAAATTTTCTTCACCTAAATAGTATAGCCCGGCGGCTATACTCTGTTTCTTTTCAAGAAATATCGGGTTTAATGGTATAGCCGCGCGGCCATACTATGTGTCTTTTTATAAATAGTATAGCCGGCCGGCTATACTTTGTTTTTTAATATTTCACGAAGAAATAGTATAGCCGCCGGGCGCTACTAGATTTTTTGAATATTGTTCGAAGAAATAGTTTAGCCGGTTTGCCTTTTTTTTTTTTTTACAATTTTTTTTTATTAAAGAAATAGTATAGCCGTGTTTATTTGGAACAAATTGTACAGCCGCGCGGCTATACCATGTTTCTTTTAAACAAATATCGGTTTGTCTAATTTTTTTAATAAAGAAATAGTATAGGCTCCCGGTATGCTCTGTTTTTTGAAAGAAATATCGGTTTTCCTAATTTTTCTTTAAAGAAATAGTATAGCCGCGCAGCTATACTCTGTTCTTTCAAGAAATCGTATCGTCGCTCGGCTACACTTGGTTTTTGAATTTTTTCATGGAAATAGTATAGCCGCACGGCGATACTCAGTCGTTTCGAATTTTTTTAGAAAGAATTCGTATAGCCGCACGGCTATACTCGGTTTTCTCAAATTTGTTTTTACAGAAATAAGATAGTCGCCCGGCTATACACTGTTTTTTCAAAAGAAATAGTATAGCCGGACGGTTATACCCGGCGTTTTTTTAAAAGAACCAGTACAGCCGCGCGGCGGTACTCTGTTTCTGTTAAAGAGATATCGGTTTTTCTATTTTTTTAATAAAAGAAATAGTATAGCCGCTGGGCTAGACTCGGTTTTTCTAATTTTTTCAAAGAAATAGTGTAGCCATGATTTGTATACGTCTTAAAAACCTGGGAAAATTCACATTTTTGAAAACGTAAATATTCAAATCTCGTGTTGGACATGTATATACAAATTTTTTAATGTTTAATACACGTATTTTTTACAACATTTTCAATAATACACAATAGATTCATATAATTCTCACATATTATTAAATATAAATAATATATAAAAAATATTTTAAATAAAATATTATATAGTGGCCCAACATAAAGTTATTTCAACTGTGTATATTATTGGGTGCATCATTAAAGATTTGATGACACTGGGCCTAGTCCGAGGCCCAAATGTTTCCAGTGGGCCGTCACTTAAGTGCTTCGCCTGTTATGCTTACACGTCGTAATATGATAGGCTCCTGGAGATTAATGGACGAATTAGAATTAAGATTAGGAAACATGTTGGGCAAAGCACAAGGCCTTTTCCCCAACTCAGAAGCTAAGGGCAAAAGCTCCGAGAAAGTTCTGAATGAAACCCCGAATTCTGAGCTCAGGCACGATACTTTCGACGCAATGGTGAGAAAAATCTCTTTTTCCCCACCTCCTTTTTTGCTTTATTTCGCTTCATGTCTGCCTCAAAAGCAAATTTAGTGTGATTTTGGTACTAGGGTTCACAAAGATTTAATTTTTGCTCTTGCTTGTTTCCATGGGAACTTAATTTTATTGAAATTTATGAGATTCAGTTAAATTAGAAATAAAAATAAAAACTTTTTCTTGGTAGATTGGTACAGCAGGGTTTGTGCTAAATCCTAAATGTGGCTCAGTTTATTGACTTGCTGCTGTTATTCCCCTTATTTCACACTGAAGAGCTGTTGTTGCCAGTGTAATTATTGTTCTTTGTCTTTCTGCACCCATGCATGTTGGAAAATGTATTTGAGATGCAACCAAAACAAATGCATCCCCACATGGAAGGTAGGGGCGTTGATCATAGAAACAATGGTTTTGAAGTGCTGCTTTGGGTTTCCTAATCAAGATTGGGACAGTTTGCATCTTGATAAAAGGCCCACAGTTTCATATGTATTCCTTCACATGGTCTGGTCATGGTTGGGTGTTATTGTCTCTGGGACTTTCCATCTCTAATTAGAGGGATCGTGATTTTTTAGAAGCCTATGTGTGCTCTACGTATGTTTGGAGTTGGCTTTAAGAGGGCAGATGCTGTTTTGTCAATTGATGTCATGCCCTTTATGCATTTGATTCAATATATCTGTCGTGCACGTATATATCGTTTGAAACCCTCTTTGGTTGGAGCCTTCTTTTGATTGTCCAAGTGATGTTATGTGTTCTATGCTTTGGCACCTTGTGTGGCTATTAGTTGATGGTGTCTTTCTGGATTGAACCATGTGCATGTTATAATGTTCAGTAGAACTGGTGGAAATTCCCCTTTTTTATGACATGGGGCAATGGTCTTGAGAAAGGAGTTTAGTGTACTTAAAAATACCTTAGAATTAAAATGAAAAATTACAATTCTATTGAATTAATGAACTTGTAGATGTGCATCAGGCTACACCTTTTCTGGCTGGTCTTGCAGTAGCTGCTACTGCGCTTGCTGGTAGATATGGTATCCAGGCTTGGCATGCGTTCAAGACACGACCGCCAAAACCTAGAATGCGGAAATTTTATGAAGGTGGTTTCCAGCAGACAATGACAAAGAGGGAAGCAGCTCTTATTCTGGGTATCAGGTAAGAAGGATTTTTAAAAATAAATAAATGTACATTGTAGGATATTATCCTAGCCTTATTATCGCTGTTTATTTATTCATAGTCAAGGAAAATGAAAGGAATATTGAATTGGTTTCAACCAAAATGATGGAAAACTTGAAATCATAAGGAGTGAAGCTCTGACCATCTTATCTTCTCTGTTTTTAAGCAAAATAGATAATCCTTGTAAGGTTTCACAGGGAGAATGCACCTGCAGACAAGGTCAAGGAAGCACATAGAAAGGTGATGGTTGCAAACCATCCTGATGCAGGCGGTAGCCATTACCTAGCATCCAAAATCAATGAAGCAAAAGATGTGATGCTTGGAAAGACAAAGGGCAGTGGATCAGCATTTTGATGCATTTAAAATGCCTCGACTTCACGCCGTGTGCTAAACAGTAAAATAATTCCCCCTTCATTAAGTTCATAGGAAGCAGTGGTTGCTCTTGAGTTATTTTTGTCCAAATATGTATGATCTTGAGTAAGAGGAATCCCATTACACCTGTCTGTGCATGTTCAATTTTGTTCAAAAACTGATAAGGGCATCCTTATATTGAAGTGTATATAAGTTTTTTTAAACACATTTTTGCAGTTTCAATACAATTTGAAATCTTTTGGATATAGATATAAAGCTGTTCTGATTTCATCTTGACCATCAAATTTCCTCAATGCATACAACAATCCTACTACATGGCCGGTAGCCAGTTGGTACTTTAGTCGTTATCTTGCCTTGTGATCAAGGGAGCCAATACCAATGATTAACAACATAAAAATCATTATTTTCAGAGGATTATATATTCAATAAATATGGATTGGCAGACAGCTGGGAATCTCCAATTATGATGTTTCAATAAATGTACTGATAATTTACGTGTGAAAACTCCGGATGGGACCTTAGAAGTGGTTATTTATGTACAAACAAATCATGTGGTCATATGTCATATAATGGGATGGCACACACATTCTCTTCTTTGTTCATATACCTTTCGTCTAGGCACAAATTTTCATAACAGAATTCTCTTTTGGGATTTATGACAAATTATGTCATTTCAATCTTGACTCGAGCCTCATCTCCATAAAAGATCATGAATATTGACTTTTTATTATTATTATAAGTAATTGGAAAACGAGTTTATATGATTATACAAATAATCATTATGCACCTGGAAGTTTCGAATCTCTAACCAACTTAGCCATATCCCACTAGTAGGATTGAACTTAATTGAGCTTGCTATTAACAATATAGGACCATAAAAAGAAAAATTGAAAGAAAAGTTTCTATTTTTTGTGTGTTTATAAACACATATTGCAAGTTGGACAGATTTAATACACCACAACAACATGCCCAAGCAAAGCAAATCCATATTCTGAATTTGGTTGATAAAATTACAATAACTATTTTGGATATTGGAATGGGAAAAATGTTTAGCTTCTTAATTACACCAAAAAAAAAAAAGAAAAAAAAAAGGGAGGCTAAATTTGATATAGAAATGGATAAAAATTTGATTGGTTTTGGGAGGATTTTAAATTGTGAATTACTAGGAATCCACGAGCCCAATGTGTATGTGTCATCCTCTCTCCTACAGAGTCCCTGCGTCAGCTTTTTATCCATTCAGCATTCATTATCCGAAGAATAAGATCAGTACAAAAATTTTAAAACAAAAAGGAAAATTGCAAAACAAAATAATTAAAAATAAAAAAATAAAAAAATAAAAAAATAAAAAAAATAAAAAAAAGAGAGGCCTGGTCTTTAGCTGCCTCTTTGTTCTTCACTTCTGGTTGTTTTGCTCTTCTTCTTCCTCTAATCCCACCCAAATCTCTCGGTCACAAATGAAACACAGAGCCTGTCCAAACCCAATAAAATATCCAATCTTTCTCTGAATTTGGCTAAGCCTCTTTCACAAACACAATCTGCCAAACAAATGCTCTCTCTTTCTCTCTCTCATGGCTTTGAATCCATATTTGAAATGCAAAGGCTGACACTTTGTACTCTGAAGAAATAACGAGACGCTAAAAGCGAAGAAATTTAAATCTGATTGAACAGAAGTTGAGCTGCCCATAATGGACGCATAGGGTTTTCGTCGTTTCGGATTCAACAGTCGGTGCACCCCTTCATATTCGGATCTCACCCGCCCGGTTCACGCAGTTCTGTGGTGTATTTCTATTACTCTACGCTGTTTCTATGATGAATTTAATCCATTTGTGCTAATTTTGTGGAAGAAAATTTGTTTTGTATGTTTCTGTGCGTAACGGTTCCTGTGGATTTTGTTGGAAGCTTGATAGTTATCTGGGACTGAAAGAATCTTGAGTTTTGTTAGTAATGTTGTCTGCAAATGACCCGGTTGAATCGTTTTTCAATTCGATTCAACTTGTTAAGGAAGCGCTTTCGCCGCTGGAATTGAGTTTTCGAAAAGCGGCCGAGGACTTTGAGTGTTGCTGGGCAGGGCCTAAGAATAAAGTAAATGCTGTTGATTTGGTTTATCAATTTGATGGTGTTGATAAGAATGGTAAAGCTCAGATCTTTGGGGGGAAGAAGAAAGCTGGTCATTGTGTCACAGTTGGCGGCGATGAGAGGACGAAAGGGTTGTCTGCTAAGGTTCCTATAAAGGCGTTGTTTGGGAAGTTTTCCCAGAATTCTGGAAATGAAAATCGACCTGAGGTGTCAAAGTGTGGGTTGACAGAGAAGGAGCGTGCAAAGGAGGATGGGTCTTGTGTGAATTGTTTGCAGTTTGCTATAAATTGGTCTGTGTTAGCTAACAGTTTTGTTCAGGCATTTCCGGGTCCGTTCAAATTGGGTAAGAAGCGGCTCCAGAAAACGAGTGATGAGGACAAAGCGTGTTCTTGCAAAAAGCCGAAGGTTTCTGGTGACTTGAAGCAGAGGGAGTCTAAGGGCCAGCATGCTAGAACAATTCAGAATGAAGTTGTGTCACATAACGAAGGAAAACATGTATCACTAGAATGCCTCATAGGTTTTGTTTTTGATCAACTAACTCAGAATCTTCAGAAGTTTGATCATGGTGTTCAAGAAAGTGGTCGAGAAACTTGTGAAACTTCCCCAGAGCCGACTTCTTCTTCCCAAACTGATCATTTCAAGGTGATTACAGGTTTGCTGGAAGGTCGAAAAGCAGATGTAAATGGATTTCTGGGAAACTTGAAGTTTGCGAGAGTGGGAGGAGTGCCATCGGGCGTTGTTGGGGTAACCTCTTCAGTTAACGAAGAGGGTGATGAGGATGTTACTGCAAGAAACAGGGCAGAATCAGCAGGCAGTTCACCACAGAAGCTTGCTAGTGATATTCTTAGTATTCCTCTATCAAACGTAGAGCGTTTGAGATCCACATTATCCACTGTTTCGTTGACTGAATTAATTGAGCTTGTACCTCATTTGGGGAGACCTTCTAAAGAGTATCCTGACAAGAAGAAACTATTCTCTGTCCAAGATTTCTTTAGGTACACAGAGTCTGAAGGTATGTTGTCTCAGGTAGCTTGGTACCTGATACGTATTGTGGAAATGGATGGTGCTTTGTTTCTTTCTGTAAAAAAGGAAAAAAAGGAAGATTCCAAAACAGAAGTTTATTCATGCTAATTCATGAGCTTTATATTCATTGAATTTGTAATAAAAAAGCTATATCATGACTTCCAACTTGTTCAATTTTGTGTCTATACAATTATATAATTAACACATTTTACACCATGAATGCATCTAGGAAGGAGATTCTTTGAAGAACTAGATAGAGACAGAGATGGCCAAGTAACTCTGGAAGATCTCGAAATTGCAATAAGAAAGCGAAAGTTGCCACGGAGATATGCTCACGAGTTTATGCGCCGTACTAGACGTCACATATTTTCAAAATCATTTGGCTGGAAACAGTTTTTATCTTTGATGGAACAGAAGGAACCAACCATTCTACGTGCATATACGTCTCTATGCCTCAGCAAGTCTGGAACACTGCAAAAAAGTGAAGTATTGGCATCACTTAAAAATGCAGGACTTCCAGCTAATGAAGACAATGCTGTTGCTATGATGCGATTTCTCAATGCCGACACAGAAGGATCTATTTCTTATGGCCATTTTAGGAATTTTATGCTGTTGCTCCCTTCTGATCGACTTCAAGATGATCCTCGGTAAGATGAATTGCTCATTGTAGTCAGTCCCTTTATAAGCAAGCATAGATAGGTCTACTTAAAGTTGTGCACAAGCAACAGTAGTAAGCCATGAACCCAAATGGTGAATGAACTAAATATACAACATACTGCATTCACAGCACTGGAGCGTATTTCATTTTCCTATCGGTACTGTGAACCCAAATGTACCAAGAACATGGTAACTTTGGTTAAATCTGTGGTCGGCTCTTGGATATAGTATAGGTGTAGTCTGGAGTTCGATTCAATTATTTCGTTATTTTATTGTCTTTCGTTTCTTGGTCTGAAATGTTAACAGTTCTATTCTTTGGTAATTGATGCACATTTATGGAGAATGAACTATTCAATGAATTAGGAGTAATGCAGAATAAATTGCACTTTAGAAATCACATCTGTGTATGCATATTTTTAAAATTCTCAGTAGGGCTAGTGTCCACAAGCTAGTACGATACTCCTAGCTGACAGTAACTTCTTCATAATGCATACAGGAGTATCTGGTTTGAAGCTGCCACTGTTGTTGCTGTTGCACCACCTGTGGAAATACCTGCTGGAAGTGTACTAAGATCTGCATTAGCAGGGGGCCTTGCTTGTGCACTTTCCACTTCTTTATTGCACCCAGTTGACACAATTAAGGCAAATTCCCTGGCTTAGGAATTTGTACTCATGTAGTCAATGTTAATAGTTTTCTGTAATTGGTGATGTTTCTCTTTGGTCTTATGTCTTAAAATGCATCCTTTTTTGACATTCTCAAGTTTTCTTTATGTTTGACAGACTCGTGTCCAAGCATCAACATTAACATTCCCCGAAATTATTTCAAAGCTTCCACAGATTGGAGTGCAGGGGTTATACAGGGGCTCAATTCCTGCCATTCTTGGACAGTTTTCAAGGTTTTTCTTTTGCCCCTTTCCAGTAATAGAAAAATGAAGTAGTTAATTTTAGCCTTTACTTTGAGTAATTCTCTTCTTCTTTTTTCTGGCTTATTTGTTCTCTTCACATTACAGTCACGGCCTGCGAACTGGGATATTTGAGGCAAGTAAACTTGTATTAATAAACTTTGCTCCAACGCTCCCCGATATACAGGTAATGATTGTTCTTTTACTATTGCTAGTTTCTATTTTCTTTGTTCTGTCACACTTGCATTTCTGTTTTGCATCTTCATGTGCTGCCTGAGTAACTACTCTCTTCCTCTCCTCTTTTCTACTCTCGCTAGGGACTAGCATCATGAATCCATCATGCCATAGAAATGACATTAATATCTATTTAAGCGAATACAGGTTCATGTTGTCTTTTCATTCTTTCATCTGGACTATTTCTCCGTAGAATTATAACAAATTTGTACCTTTCCACACACCTAATTAACTATCCTGTTTTTTAAAAAAGAGTATTGTACTTTTTATTTTTTTTTCCTTCAAATGGGAAATTGTACAACTAAGGTACATTGTATGGTGTTCTCTACCTAAAAGAAAAAAAAAGTAAGAAAACTATGGTGCTGTTAGAGCAACTTCAACCAGTAGCTCCCTATCCTTTTGAAACCCTTGGTCTGCTTTGAAAATGGTTCTCATGTCTTCGCTGGCTTGCTCCCACCCTTCCCTCTCCATTCTCTCTTGTAAACATGTGGTAGGCACATTCAAAACAACTGTGAATTTGAAGCCTGTTGTAGTTTTAAGAAGGGAAGTATGAGTTTGAGATGGGTGGCAATGGGTCTGTTTGATGTATCTGTGATTCTTTTTTGTTAATGCTGTTTTGGAACAGTATAAAATCATATTTTGTCTTGTTAATAGGTTCAATCTCTAGCATCATTCTGTAGCACATTTTTGGGAACAGCAGTGCGAATTCCTTGTGAGGTGTTAAAGCAGCGGTTGCAGGCTGGCCTTTTTGACAATGTCGGGGAGGCTATTGTGGGGACTTGGAACCAAGATGGTCTTAAGGGTTTCTTTCGTGGGACTGGTGCCACTCTTTGCCGGGAGGTTCCATTTTATGTCGCTGGCATGGGGCTATATGCTGAATCCAAAAAGGCATGAAATTTTTATATGCAATTTTTCTCTCTAGGCATAAAATGTATACCCCACTCCCCAACGACACTCTCTCTTATCAACTGACTCTACTTTCTGCATTTTAGTGTTGTGAAGAGAATTTTATTGATCCCAGAAAGATAGCCAACGTTTTATAAAATTAGAAATAAAAACTTCAGGTTTTGGAATTTAAAAGCTTATATAATGCAAGTATGCGTCATTGAGGGAAATTAAAGATATAATGTGCCCAATATATTGCCTAAATTGCTGCCTAAGATATGAAAAAAGTATAAAATTTTCTTTTCGAAAGCAGGCAATATTTAGCTACAATATATTCGTCTTTAAAAAAAATATATATTTTATATATATAACAATTACCTAGCAGAATTGTAAATGCATCACAGGAAAGAAGAATTTGAAACTGAATAGGCACAACTCATGCCCCTAACCATGGTACTTTGTGGCAACGTTGATTGCTAATGGCTATGTATTGATTCCCTTAGTTTCAAGATTTGACTTTTATGTTATAAAGTGTTGTTTCACTATTAGATCCTTTTTTTTTTTCCCTCATTTATGGAGAGGCAAACTTGACATAGAATGTTGGGCCACGTTTCTTATCAAGTTTTAAAAAGAAAATAGATCATTGTATGTGGGTTTAAAGTGAAAAATCTGTAATTACTAATTTCTGCCCAAGACGATCTGTTTGACAGAAGACATTTCGTAGTCTGACTCCTAGATAGTGGCCTTCATGTCAATAATATAGTTATTTTTAATAAACTTATTTTATTTAGACCATAATTAATGTGATAATAGCTCATATGTTTTCGTTAAATGTCTATTTTGCTGTTTTAGGCTGCCCAGAAATTTTTAGGCCGGGATCTGGAAGCTTGGGAAACAATTGCAGTTGGGGCTTTATCCGGCGGGCTAGCAGCTGTTGTCACCACACCCTTTGATGTGATGAAAACAAGAATGATGACTGCTCCACAGGGTAGACCTATATCAATGTCAATGGTAGCCTTCTCTATACTCCGGCATGAGGGACCTCTTGGCTTATTTAAAGGAGCGGTACCCAGGTTTTTTTGGATCGCTCCCTTGGGTGCCATGAACTTTGCAGGCTACGAGCTTGCGAGGAAGGCCATGGACAAAAATGACGAGCTAAACAGTGACCAGGTCCATCAAAAGAAGGTGGCCAGTACTGGATAGGGTTTCTATTTCTTTGAAGTAATGACATTACTATCAACTTCATCATCTCCCAGCTATTTGAGATGAAAGCAATTATATGCTGCCGGGAAATTTTGACTTTTTTTCCTTCCGAATTTACTAGCAGCATCTGCTTGAAATTTCCATCCGTCGACATATCTGCCCTTTTTTTTGTCAGAGATTGTAATTCTTCGTAGGTTTTCTTTTTGTTCGGAACTTTTCTAATCCTGCAGTGATGGCAGTGAAATTACGTTCTTGATGTTATTTTTGTACTCATGGATTTTCACAGTTTTGTAAACTTTGTGCAGTTGTCATTCTGTTTAAGTTTGTATATTTAACCAGAGTGTCTAAATGTACATGAAGCTCTCTATTAATGATGGTTTTATTACCTTTCTCCGTTTTTTCTTGGCGGGACCAGGTATAAATATTCATGACGTGCATGCCCATGCCACAATGTCGGGAGTCGAGAATTCAAAGTGTAACAAGAAGGATTAACTTTCTCTTAATTTCCTTTAATTTAGTAATTTAGTGATATTTCTTTTCTCAATTTTGGAAGAAGATTAGACTTAAATCCCAAGTTATATCGGAGAGAAGAGAAGTGCGACTGTTGTAGCATGCCAGACTTCTACAAGTATGCGTGCGCAGAGTGCTCAGCTCAAATGTGAAGACATAGAGAGAGTTTGGAGGTTTTAGCCATACTACTATCAAACTGGAAATCAGGCTCGACGAGAGCCTCCGCTAACAAATCAAATGAAATCAAAGAAATCGACAGTTACTGGACAACTACATCTTACTCGAGAAACATTGAATACGTAAAAATATAACTCTGGATATAACGGAAGCATTCACAAATTCGGATACTGCCTTTATGTAAATGTAATGAGATGTATTGGCCTACTGGAAAACAAGCCCCTCTTAAGGATTTCTATTTAAGCTCAAATTCTTCAAACCAAAAGCAACCAGATTACAAACAAAATCAATTTGGTTATCCTTATTATTAAAGAAAAGGGTGAAACACGACACGTCCCAGCAATATTGCCAAGCACTGAAACCTTTGAATGTCATCAATAGCCCCAGTAGTCATTTCGGATTTCATCATCGAATTTCTTCTTCAGCTCTGGATGCTTCTCAAAGTACTCATCTGCAGTCATGGTGCTTATCTTCTTCTGTAGAGATTTAAACAAAAAAGGTGTGAGAAACTATACATTCTACAAGTATATGGGGTTAGCCTGGGACAATCCCCATTACCTTCAATTCTTGAACTTCAGCAATCTCCTTCTCCAAACGCTCAGATTCCTTCAAAGATTTCTCTTCTGCTTCCTTTAGATCCACCAACTGTACTCCGCAGTAACACATAAAACACCTCAGGAAGTTAGAAAGTAGTACATATACTTGGATGGGGAGAGAGAGAGAGAGAGAGAGAGAGAGAGAGCTAACCAATTGATCAAATTTAGGCTTGTACTCAGGAGTGACCGTGTCTACATACTTGGGGACTTGAACGCCTGCAACAATTTTGTTGTTTTGATTTCAGAGAAAGATACATGAGACATGACAATATAGATGAGAAGGCCAAAACTCGGGCACTGTTCTCTCTCTTGTATACACCCAAGTAATTCTCTCAACATTTACCAAGAACAACATTTGGAATATTTAGAAGAAGGATGTCTCAGATGAACATGTGTTTCTAAAATTACTAGGAGAAAACCATAGCCAAGAGCCCAAAATACAATTATATATACCATTCTACAATGGTACATCAGCAGCTGAAAATACTTTCCCATGAGACTTCCTATAAATCTAGAGGAGAGCTGGTTCTGTACAGGTTATTAAAATATAATTTCATGCTTCTACTAGTCATAATATAGTTTAATGTAAGCCTCTTTTAGGGGGTGAGCGGATACAGGACATATCATTCTTATCAAGTCAGTTAACAGAAGTTTGTTAAAACCCAACTCATCAAGGAAGGGTTGTGTACCTTATATTTGTTAACCAAAGCATAAACATGCACATTGTTGATAAGTCTAAGCAAATAAAGCACTAGAGGGCAAGAAATTTAAATTCAAACAATAGCCCCTAAAGCCTTCATCTATTTGGCACATGGTATCTCATGAAAGAGTGCAAGGCAACCACGTTGTTATGAAATACCATGTGCCACGTTTTCAGCTCAAAGAAGGATGCAAATCGAAAATTCCACAACACCAGACCTCAGTAATCAGTATGTAAGTGTAACTGCAACTAATGTAATACAAGATTGATTCATGGAAGAATTATACTTCTGAAATGCATTCATTAAGTAGTCAGAAAACGTACTGTCATAAGCCTCTTTGTACATATCCACCAAGCGAGACCCAATTCCTTTCCTATAATACTCCCAGTCAATAGGTTCAGGTTCCTGCAACAAAATGAGAATTGGAAACAGAAAATAGATTAAAACATCAGTGCAGTAACGTCCAAAAGTGAACTAAATGCAACCAATAACATATCTTCAGAAAGATACCATTGTGTATAAATCCGTACAAGAAGGATTCCCTGTGATTTCCCATTATAAAGAATGATTATATAACAAACTCTTCTAATCCCATTTTAAGATTTATCCAAGTTCGTCCATTTAGATCAGCTCTAACAGGTTAAAAGGCTCAACACTAACATCTACATCAGTATTTAGTAACGAGCTAGCCCCTAAGAAAATCAGTATAAAAAAGGAGAAAACTTTGAAAAAACCAAACAGACCCATTTTACTAATCAACCAAATAACACCCAAAAAACAAAAACAAAAAACCCAAATTCAACAAAATACTATTCAATTCAGAAAACCCAGATCAATAAGCTTAGAAATGAAGCAAAACACAGCTAGATATCACAGAGATCTTAGCAAATATTATAAAGAAACACCGCCAAAAAAAAATAGAGAGAGTGTTTTTGTATGCGAGAGAGAGATGGGGGCGTGCGCAGACCTGGCTGAACTTGGTCTGGAGGGTAGTGTTAACCTCATCGAAGGCACGACGAAGAGAGGCGAACTCTTTGCGAGCCTCATCGGAGACCAGAAGCTTGGCCATGCCCTCCCAGTCGATTTTCCTGGAGGCTTTGAAAGCCACATCGGCAACTTTCTTCCCGGCGCCGCTCATTTTCTCTAGCTTTCTCGCTGGCCAAACAATGTAGAATCAGACGATCAGATGCTCCTTTTGTTGCTGCAGCTTCGGCTGTGGTAACTAAATGGTGGCTTTGGGTTTGGAACTGGAATTATAGGTCATGGGCTTTGCTTCTTATTTTCTGGGCCTGAACTAGTTGTGGTTTGTTGTTTGGTAATAAATTGGGCTAAAATGTTTCAAGAGAGGCCCATCTATCATGATAGAATTGGTAAATGCAAAGTCATGATATTGATTTTGGTCATTCAAGGGCCAAGTCAATAATCAGTTTTCGATTATACGGTGCCAATCCTTGACTGAGTACTTCAATACGTTACGGTTATGTAGTATTATATGAGTGCTCGACATGATTGATATTTTCACTTTTAAAGTATACTATCTTCTTTTTTTTTGGTCAAACTTTTAAAGTATACTATCAATCAATACATATCTACATGTATTACTATACATAAACTAATTATACTATGTCGGGATCTCCACTACCACAGGTGACTGCGTCTTGGCGTCAGATCTTCACCACTATCATCCTTTTTGTTGTTTCTTTATATTTGGAATAAGTCACAGAGGCTCTTTGGATTCTCTGTGTATTTTTTACCTCTCATTTTGTGAGAGCTTTTCACCTATTCTTTGTGAGAGCTTTTCATCTTTCTTTTGTGAGAATTTTATTTGTATTGTTATGGCTTGGTTCTTTCAAGCTTTATATCTTTGATATTCTGAGTTTGCAATCTTAATTGGGATGTCTATGCTAAAGTTTCTTTGATCCTGCATGATCATTAGTGGAGGCGCATCAGATTATTTTAATTTTGATGTTAGACTGCTCGGTTATTGTAATGACCTTTGTAGCTAGTTTGTATTGGCTCTTTTTGACTAATGGTTTTTTTGATTGAATTATGAATTTCTAAATTTTTAAAAAAAATTATAACATGTAACCGCATTTTAGTACCAAAATAATTACTAGCCCACCTTCAACACCTTGTTTTGCATTTCCTTGTAAGTAACCCATATTTAGTGAGAAAAAGATGGTAGATGGAAGTTGCCATGAGCAGCCCTTGGCATAAGGTTGGACTGAGAGGAAAAACTAGTACACACAAGTTAGTTTTTAGAGAATTTATACACACTTCCAAAATTGTGGTCATGCACATGCACTCAAAAGGCTAATATTAGTACTTTTATCAGTCTTTTTGTGATTCTCATTTTTATCAATCTTCATATGTGTGAGAATGTAAAGGTAAAAAATTTCATATTGGAAAGTTGTGAAACCTAACAAGGACTTATAAGGAGTTAGGCTACTCCCCCCATTGCCAATTGGTTTTGGCATTAGAGCAGGTTGCCCACGTGTGAAAGCCCAACGGCCACACGTGATCCACGTCACCCAAAATGTGTTGTCCACGTATTAGGCTTGAAAATTCACCACACGTGGCAGGGCCTGTGAGAATGTGAAGGTAAAGAGTCTCACATTGGAAAGTTGTGAAACCTAGCAAGGGCTTATAAGGAGTTGGACTACTCCTCCCATTGCCAATTTGATTTTAGGGTGGAACCTCGGAACCTCAACTTCCTTCAATATGAACCATTGAACCAAGATGAGGTAAACGCCAGTTTTAGGAAGGAATTTCCTGTTAATCTTTCTCATCATTAATTGGAGGAATGCATTTAATATGATCTGCAAGTGAGACGTGTGTTTGAACTGAGGACCAAGAAATTATCGAGCAATATTATTTTTGGCATCTATTGGCCAGAAATTCAAAATCTGTGGTTTTGTTCACATTCGTCACCACTTACCAGAAAATAGACAACTTGGAGTACGATGTGGTACGTGGACATGGGAACATGTTAGCAAACTTAGCTTAATTCCACAGGACTAACTTCATGAAAATGATATACTTTCTAGATGAAGAAACAGAATTTTGGGATAGAAGTTGTGAATCTGTTAGTCAACGTTCGTTGACTATGAAAGCTTTAGTGTGTCGTCTTCTGAGGCATGAGTCACAGATCATTGCGTGTGTCACATGTATATGTAATTTGTAAAACCCTAAAATGGAATTCTGATTATTAATTCATTCCTTCATTAATTTTAGAGAAAATTTTGCACATGGCTTGCTGTTCGTTGCTTGGTTATCATCAAAACTTACCATCAAGTCGTTATTCTTAGTCTCCCCAGGTGCACATGGGAGGAGGAGGCCCTGTCCTTATTTTCTTTGTTGGGCCTCTGGTCACCCCAGAGCCAAAGAAACAAATTATGATTTTCTTTTCTCATTTTAACATGCTAGCTCTATTGTACTCAAGTTCGAATCCCACTCCATACAGAATAGTTTAGAGTGGAATAATATAGAGTTGTTTAGATTATCGCTCGGAAGGAAAAAACTTCAAGATCCTATCCCACCTAGTGCAGCTTGAACAAACATCACAAATTTTGTGTGTAAGGTGCTCTGTTTTCTGCCTCCCAAATTTCTTGTTATGAATATATTAAAGAAGACTGCCTTTATATTACAAGAATATTTATTTATATGTAATATTTATATATATATAAACCTTAACAAATGATAACTTTATTGAAGAAATTTTCAAAGTATATTTTTCAATGTCTCGTCCGCAATTGGAGGTTAAGCTTAAATGTAACATCAACCATGACCCAAATGACTGTTTATGTCCACAGAGGCTCCCAAGCTGTGCCCAAATTGGTCTCATCCAGAAAGCAGCTTGTGTCAAGGTAAGACTGTTGCTGCTGCTGCTGCTGCAAAATGGGGTCTTTGGATTGTGTCATGTCCATACAAATTAGGGCAATCAAATTGCCCTGCTGGCATTGCATGTTGAGAAGCTCAGCTTGTGTCTTGGCCAGTTGGGCTTGGAGCTCACTGAGATGTTTCTGGAGCTGGCAAATTGCTCCTGCACAGCCATACACTGGGTCTCTGATTCTGGCATTGGCTTCATAAACCATGCTGCTCACTGCATCTGCTCTGTGAGACTCTGGAAGCTCCTGAAAAAATTTCACACATGTAACTTTTAATTTCACAGTTTGACAATATAAATACAATCTCGCACTAGTGAGTGAGAGACAACCCTCTTTCAAAATGATTGTACTTTCACTTTGTGAAAGTTGAAAAAAGGTTCCTGATCATGACCTACCTTACCTTTTGATGTGAGCCCAATATTAAAAATAATGAATAATTTACAGAATTTGTTATTACCTGCAAGAGCTTGATGATGTTGCTAGCTCCAAAGACTCTGTGGGCAATAGTGAACTTGAGGGGCTCCGTAGGAGGGAAATATGGAGCTAAAACACACTTCTCCGCGCACCTCCGCCGAAGAATCTTGCAGGCAGCACATGGGCTAAGAACAACAGGTGGTGGTGGTGGTGAAGGAGAGGTTGGATTATTAATACTAGTGTTAATAATACTATTATTATTCTTGACAGCATAATTAGGAGAAGATAAATTAGATAACTGGAGAGGATTATTAGGAGAGGGAAATGAGGCAGTCGGAGAAGATAGCTGGGATATTGAAAGTGGAGGGGAAGAAGCAGAGGGAGTTGAAGTGTTGAATTCCATTGCTTGCTGCTTTCTTTGTTTCTTTCTTTGAGTGAGATATGAGGTAGGAATTTTCAAGGAGGGGCCAATGTGCCTTCTCTTGCTTTGCTTGAATTGGAGAGTTTGCTTCGAGTTCTATGTGTACACGTACATATATATAGAGAGAGAAGGCATCTAAATTGTCAATGGCATCTGTGTCATCAATCTAGTGAGATGACGTCATCCCTTACCTGCGTTAATTTTATTTTCTTTTTAAATTTTCTGTTTTTGCCTAAGTTTTTCTTTTGAGTTTTGTTCAAGGAATCACTCCACATGTCGCTGCAGCCACTTGTAACTTCCAAGTCTTTCCTTTTTTGTTCTTTTCTTGGTCCTCTGGTTTTTGGAGATTTTGTTATACACGTAATGCTTTTAAAAGGATGCCACAATCATTAAAATCAAATTCTATTACTTATTATTTTTCCAAGTAAATTTAGGTTTTAGCAAAAAAAAATTTCACTTTTGAAAAAAGCCAAAGTTTTTTCAAAAAAGACATAAAAACCTCTCAACTTTCAAATCAAAGACATGCAAATGTAAAAGATTCCTTAGGAAATCCAAAAATAAATAAGGGCAATTTGGTCCATTTTGGCTTCTTTTACAAATTTTCTATCTCCTTTGTGTTTTTCTAAAGTCTCCCTTTTCCATCAATTCTTTTCCCCAAATCAAACGGGGTCTAATAATATATTAAATAAATACAGTACAACTAATTTTATTATTTTATTGATATTAGATACTTTTAAAATAAAATACGAAAACCACCCTTGACTTTTTCAGGTTACTTTCAGTTTGAAGAGGTGTCCAAGTCTATGGTAACTAGGCATGGCGACGTGTGTATTAATTCAAAGAACCGTATGTTTTAATTTACGACATACTTATGCTCATTTATGTCATGAAATTATTTTCAAATACCACTATTACTGTATTATAATTTCATTACATCGATATCATCTCGATACAATGTTGACAATTATCCCATTATTTTAATAGTCAACAGTCTTAGATAATCTTAACACAACGTAAATAAAGTATCAATATTATGTCGATAATATCGACTTGTACGAGTAATAGTGCTACTTTAGTATGTCACTGTTGTAATAGTGATATTTAAGAACATGTTCTGATAAGCATAAGATGATCATATACCATGTATGCTTAAATCACTCTAGCTAGCCTCCTTATAGGAGTAGTTCTCATCTAACACGCATGCATTATCTTTGACGAATCGAAGATCACATTCATTGGGGACATTACTAACCTAATTAGGAAAACCCGCCTGTAAAATGACATCAGATGGAGCACCAGATTGTGGGCAGACAACCTGTATATAGCTACATGTCCATACGAGAGGAACTTGTGCTCATATGCATGTGGTATGAACAGGACACGTGAACAACATGCATGCATACATTCATGCACATGTGTCATTTAGGAATTAGAAGATCACATGCAATTCAGTCATGTATATATATTTGCTTTAGCTATAAGCATCCTATACAAAACTGAACACTCATTCCTCACCTTTTATCTTATCCAGTACTATTTAGTTTTGGGCACACACATAAAAGAACAACAAATTGAGAAAGGATAATGCTTCCCCCTTTGCCTATTGATGTGAGACTACTCATAACTTCTTTTTGGGATATAATTCGTTGACCCAAAATCTCTAGGACAGCTCACCCGAGACTACCCATAACACCCTTTTATGCGAAACCTCTTCACGTAAAGTAAATTTAATCGACTTCATTTTGAATTCCTGAATCCGTAACAACAACAATTATTACAATTTATCCTAATAATAATAAACAGTCAAAGATAAGTAGGTATTGGTCATCGCTTAACCTACACGTCATCTTAGCTAGGTCTTCTTTTCTCACCTGGCTGATGCAATCACAGTTCTATGGTTCCTCTACAATGAATCGGCGGGGGATCCTATTATTACATACATGGTACCTGTCCATATATGATTGAAATGCCATGTTTTTTTGAGGACATTGTTGCCATTTTTGACTTATTAGCTAAAAATATAGTTGCTAGTTATAGCACTGTATCTTTAAAAAAACGTGGGGTATGAACCTCGTGGGGTATGAACCTCATGCTAGCCAAGCCATTCTCCATGAAAATTAACTCTATGTGACGGTTACACCCAAAAAATTTACATCTGTAAGAGCATCCACAATGACGTTCTCTATTTCTTAGCTAAAATTTGGCTAAAAATATAAGAAAGCTATTTTAGGAGAGTCATAAATGCTATAACTCCCTAATGTGGATAATTGATAAAAGTGTTTTGACCACATTGATGATTAAAAAAAAAATTTCTCAATGAGTAAAATTAAATCTACCTAGGTACCTAGCGAGTCTCATCTTTACAAGAAATATAGATATTAGTAAATGCGTTATATACTTTTCTCATCAATTACATATCTGCAAGTATTTCTTTTTCTTTTTTATATTGAAAAAGATCCCGGAATTCGAATTTCCTCCCTTGTTCATCGATTAAAATGACAAAATGAGTTGCCTCTCTCTAGTTACCAATATAACATGACTAGCAAATCGCATGCTGCCACAACTACTTAAACGTGGTGCGCCCAAGGAATTAGATTATAATTTGGTCTTATTTAGTTCGAGAGTTGGGTGAGAAACAAGAAAATGAGTCATGGAGAGAAGTTCAAAGTCCCAAAGATTATGACACTTTAAAAGTGACATTGTCATTTGAATTTGCTATATTTCTACCCCTCCACTCGGAAAAAAAAGGAGTCAGTCTTGTAACGTGGCCGTGGTGGAAGCAGTTGCACACCATTATATATTCTTTCCCCACGCAGTTTTTGTTGTTGTAAAATTCCAAACCTAATTATGTTTTAATTTTTTAAGTCTCGACCTTTAGCCTTGGTCTTATATTTTGGCTTTTGCCCACCCAAAGTCTTTTCCCTTCCGCCCGTTTGAAGGTTCAAATCATCCTCTTTCTTAAAATACGGTCAATGCCACTAGCAAATACACCAATATATTATCATATTCTTCCACTTCCTTTTAAATATTATATATGTATACTTTTTTTTCCAGTGCAAGATATCAGTCAGTCCCCGTCAATATATTATTAATTCATAGAAGTCTCGAGCTAAAGTATTATGGTCTTTAGAAATTAACTGAGGAAAGACTTAAGAAGCAAATTTTGGTCGTTAGAAGCATCAAGTGAATTACTTGAACCAAACGAATTTCTGCGACTTATTCTAAAAATAAAGAAATTAAATCAACCGGATTGACATTCCGTGGTTATAAAGTCAATCTAATATCTATAAGTACTAACTCCGCGCTAATTAACTTTCCTCCTCGTCAAATAAATCAGATATACCGGAAAAATAAAGAATAAATCTGCATAGATCTATTATAGAATTACACCATAAACTATAATAGTCAACGAAACAGAGAGGAAGACAAAGACAATGCAGGAGGGGAAAGCAAAGAGGATAGGTGGAGATGGAAGGAAAATAGAGGAAGAAAAGGGACAAAAAACACAATGATAGTCGCCACCCCAAAAGAGGCGGCGGCTATGAATTTTCCCTCCTAGGTTCACTAATGATGCATTTAATCTCAGATAAACAACGCACTGTCCATTATTCCTTGGATGAAGACGTAGTCAAATTCTTGTTCACTACGAATAAAAAAAAGTACATATGTTTTGTTGGTTCGCTCAATTGTTTTTTCACGAGGCCAAATCTGAACTGTTGAGATGATGCTTAGTTATGTCGTGATTCTTACTTAACTGAAGAGACAAAAACAAAAGGAAAACCGAAGAAAGATGTTGGTGGCGGAAATGGTCTGGAATCTTCTTCTTTTTTTGTAATTTTGGAACGTGAAAATTAATGAAATGATCTGGATGAAACTAGATGTACCACAACTACCAGTAATAATTTAACACAATAAATTGTATAGATTCATTTTCTGAAAGTCTTTTGCGAAAAGTAAAAAAACAAATTAATATTAAAGTCGCTTGATCTTTCCAAATTATAAATAGACACAACAAAACAAGGACAAGAGAAACAATCGACAAACCAAAGCAAAAAACAATATGGTCAATTTGATCTAGATTGTGGCCAGATTATCAAACCATGACATTTACAGTGTACTTTCAAGCCTAACACCACATGTGCCACGAGGGGTGGCTTTTTTTGTTTTTTGTTTTTGTTTTTGGGTTTGGTATAATAATATCGAATTAAGAGAATTCAAAGATAGAGGCTCGAATGCATAAATATCTGCTTAATCATTTAAGTTACAAGTTTGTGATGAGAATGACATTAATACAAACTTATTGTTGTTTAAAGGTGGACAATTTTGTAGGCACGTTGTACATGCCATATTGCTTTTGTTTTTTTTAATTTAGGAATATTGGATATATTTTCTATCATGTATTATTAGGTTAAAAGTCACATGCATGGGACTAGGATTTGAATAATTGAATTGTTAGTAAAACTACAAATGTGTACCCTCAACTTAATCCCTAAAATTGAGGATATAATTATTCAATGTTAAAGTCAAAAAAAAGTGAATTATGAATATGCTATAAATGAGAGTATCTACAATGGAGTCCTTAAAACACATCTTTAAACAAAGTTTAGGGAGGCATTTAAAAAACACAATTCCAATCATGCTTGTTTAACGATCCTTAATTTTAATAATATTTTAACCATTTATTTTAGAGAATGGCTTGGTGCTTAAATTATTTTTTTTTGGTTACTTTATTCAAAAATTGAATTAAAAAAATATTTAAAGTATTTATGACTCTTTAAATTAGAGAATATAGTTGGAGTTTGATAGAGAACTGCTAAAATAGTTTTCTAGTGCTTTTTTTGGTCATGGCGGCAGATTTGCCTCGCCATCACTCATCTTGGCATGATCATAAAACCTCAATACCCACAATCCAGACCAAGAGGAAATTGACCCCAAAAGAACATATTTCCCATGATTTTTTGGTCAACACCTACGAATTCATGACAGCTTAAACAGAGGGAGAAACTTAAAGAGAAAGAAATAATCAGAGAAAAGGGCGAGGAGATGAAGAAAAATTAAGAGAGAAGAAACATTTTTTTTAAAAAAAAAGTTGAAAGAAAAGAGGAAAGTGTTAGAGTTTTTATTATTATAATAATTTATATAAGCTTGATTAGATGTTAGAGCTTTTTTTAATTATAATTTGGTTTCTTCTGTGCTGGAAACGTCGGCACAAATCACAAAATGCCTTCCCATTAAATCATGAACCAACACATGTAGAGTTTGTTTGCAGAGGTGTGTCCTGTGGTGTAGAGATTGGTTGCATTGATGGGTTTATTTCTAACTAAAGTGGTGGGCTAATATTTCAATTTAAGGTTTTTTAGGTTTTAGACATAAAAAAATTTTCACTTTTGGAAAAAGTCAAAGTTTTTTTGAAAAAGACAAAAAAACCACTCAACTTTCAAATTAAAGACATACAAATGTATTGGATTCCTTAGGAAATCTAAAAATAAATAAGGGCATTTTTGTCCATTTTTGCTTCTTTTAAAATTTTTATCTCTCCTTTTGCTTTTTCCAAAATGTCCCTTTGATTTACCCTAATTTGGCTTGTAAAGCTAAGCTTATATGTGGAAAACAGAAAAACATCACTGGGCCCAGTAGCGCCCACACTTAGGCCCTTAATTGTAGATGTTCTTAGGAACTGTTATTATGACGAAGAAAAAAATGTAATATTCATTCACAAAACCGTGTATGTGGCATAAATTGTAATGTATAGGAAAAAAATTGTTAGATTTAGGTCTAGAATATATTAGTTGCATGGCCTTTTTCTTAAGAACCCAAAAAAAAAAAAAAAAAAAAAACGCATATATGCTTTATTAATTTTTTACTATTACTATTTTTGGGTGTTAGATATGCTTTGCTTCAATAATCTTCATTAATCATTATGTTCCCGAAAAATTAGCACTACTTAATCAAAGCCAGCTGAGTAATTTGGACCCTCATCCCAGAGACAAGAATATTCTGTGCTCCTATTATTTATTTATTTTTCATGCAAAGCAGCTAGATTGGATTAGATGTATGGGGGACTTTGCAAACTGTCGTCCATATTTATTGGCAAGCAATCGAACAAAGGTCCACGCGTGGTTGCTTGCTTTGCTATGCTTAGTTGGACTTTGTTGTGTCGTCTGTTTATGCCTGTGTGGGGTTTCCCCAGTATTCTCACACGCTTTCTTAATTCCTAATTTATTAATTCTGATCATGCAATTACAAATTCAGATCATCATCGACCTTTCTTTTGGAAAGGAGATGGATGTAACACGTGAGCAACCACTGATGGGATACATATGATATGATATGATCTGACCCTTTATTAATTTTTCTTATAGTCTATAGCCTATTTAGTCTCTTATTTGTGAAATTCACATGCATTAACGATTGGTCTCATTCTTAGCACGAATGTAAGATTGTCTCTAACGTCCATTGTATACAATGCATTAATGATTAGAATTCATCCTACATGCGTGAGCTACTGCTCTCAACACCCACTTAGCACCACAATCATGAAAGATTGATGATTGCCCACGGCATTAGAGACATTAGAGATGTGCAACTGTCTCTATCATTCTATGTTGTTAGAACACAAACCCTACTCTCATACTCAAATACTGCTTAATTTGGAGTAATGTGCATGAATGTACTCGAATCTAGTTAGTCAAATTTTGTGCTAATTAAGATTACTTCTGCACATATATTAATTTCCTAGTCATATGCAATGTCATGCATCATGCATGCACTGAATCCCTTTCATGGTGCCTGCTAGCACATTGCTCAGAAAATGTGGTTGAATTGTGGAACACGAGCAGCTTTATTTGTTTCTATAGTCACCAGAATAAAAAACCCATGTGAATGCTTTGGTACTGGATCAGACTCACACGTCAATCCCAGGAGGAAAACGTTGGATGCCACTTCCCCTACCCAACTTAGCAAACTTGTGGATATTTTGAGCTTAGCTAGCTAGGAATAACTTAATCTTTTTATCTTATGGTGGTTTCATACTAGAGGGTTCTTCTGGCCGCGTTCTAGCTTTTCAGATGGCGCTTCTGAAACTTCGAGGGCCAAGTAATAATTCATGCAGGTCCCCTTAATTTCTCAATGGGACAATATAGTACCTGCAACTGCAAACAGGATATATACAGATTATTAAATAAATAAAAAAGCCTAAAAAGAATGAAAAAGAATAAAGATTGGTCTGCCTTTACAGTACTAATTATTGGCATTGTAAATACCCAAATGATCCTCCAATTTTTGTTCTAAGTACGAAAAACAGAACATTTATTTTTTGATACAAGCGATATTAGGGAATGAGGAATTGAAACTAAGATCTCGAGTGTATGAGTAAATGCTTTTAATCATTTGAGTTACAAACCCTTTGCAACAGAAGACCCTTTATAGATAGAGAGAGGAGATAATGGGTTGTATGAATTGACAATGATTGACCTTTTTCACCTAAAAAATCATTACCTATATATTTTACAATAACTTAAGTGACAAGGTGATGTCAAGATCCATTCTGACCAAAAATTACCAGTCACCAAAAGCGGCTTTATATTTCGAATATATGGTTGGAGATTGGTGCATATATAGTGGCATGAAAACCTAAGCGCAGTTATTTGTTGCAATTCAATACTTTCATATCGACTGAAATGTACGCCAAAGGATGATGATGGATCGACTCAAAAGCAAATAATAAACTGAGGTTTTGCTTTGTCGTTTTAAAAGGTAAATGAGCTTTTGCTTTGTCGTTCTAAAAGGTAAATGAGCTTTTGCTTTTCCATGCAAGAGTCAACTATAAGGCCTAAAGATTAGAATCCGATTGACATCCCGTTTCTTACTTTTGAATTGTAAAAGAAAATTTCAGATTGACACCCCCATCTCTTTTAAAAGCAACCCTACTTTTTACCTGTTGATGTGAGAATACAAAATTAAAGCTTTCAACAAGCGAGTTAGCAAGGAATACAAATTAGAGTTGAACAAAATTGCTAAAGTTTTCTTTCCACCATTTATTTTTTCTGTGTGTGTTAGGAAAAGATGAAGTTTCTATCGATTTACAAAATGCTACATAGAAAGTGAACATACAACACAACCATTTCTGCTTAATCGGTAAGCTCTCTTCCTTAGATAATTGACAAG